GAGGAAGAACTTCTTCCCTCTGAGCGTGACAGAGCACTGGAACAGGCTGCCCAGGGAGGTGGTGGAGTCTCCTTCTCTGGAGATATTCAAGACCCACCTGGACAAGGTCCTGTGCAGCTTGCTGTAGGTGACCCTGCTTCGGCAGGAGGGTTGGACTAGATGACCCACAGAGGACCCTTCCAACCCCTACTATTCTGTGATTCTGTGATTCTGTGATCATGCAGAACAATGGAGTAATTTAAACCTGACAACATTTGTTGATGACGTTCATCAAAACAGGAGTTTCCAGACTCAATAGGTATTAATAACATCAACCAAAACAGATATTGCACTATTTCCCACTTTTTTTTTTTTCTGCATGACTAAGTCATCATTGCACTTCTTCAGTACCCTATAGGAAAAATGTGAGGCTTGTTGTTGTTTGTTTTCTTGGAATCTCTGAATCTCTGGATCCAAGAATAAAGCCAAAAGTATTGTCAAATACAGCATGGTATATTTGTATGATGAACATTTAATGTCCACATTAAGAATTCTAGATCAGGCATGTATAACGGCAGCAAAAATTTTCTGTTGAGAAAGAGACTTTAAGGAGGTTGCTTTTTCTGAAAATACCAGACAGATGAATATGTGGAATCCAAGACCAAAATACTTTGGCACTAACTTCAATGCTGATATTTTTACAATAGTAATATAATTAATTTTTGTAAATCCCTTACAGCTGTACCACCAATATAGCATAGTATTTTTAATAGGCTATTTCATCATCTTATTTTTAGAGGTGAAATTTTGATCCTGTTCTTCAGTTATTTAAAATTGATTAGATATGCGAGCGAGAACTACTGTTGCAGGAAGGTGAAGGACTAGGTCTTTCACTAGGCACAGAATTATTTCAGAGCAACCCTTCCCCCTCCCACCCATGCCACCTAAAAAAGTAAAACTGAATAAAATCCTCCTATAAATACCAATTAAAAATATAGAGAAAAATCATGAATATATCTGAAAGATGAGACTTTTTTTCTGCTTGGATCAAAGAATTTCATTAAGCCAGATGTGTCTGGATTATTCTCATTATGGAGAGCTGTAAAAACCTCATGGTTCTTTAGTTATCCAGTGTTGGCTTAGACATATTCAAAAGTTGAACAACAAATGATATGAGTCAACATATGATATGAGCACTACGTTGACCCAAACACACATGCAACAGTTTAATGAATGAGCATCATCAAGGTTGAGAGGTCTAGAACTTGTCAAAATACCAGCATTAACTCTTGTTTGCAACCTGGCATTGAAGACTAGAGTCTTTACGGGATTGTGGATTATTTTTCACAGGGCTCCAACATTCTTCTGGTGCTCCAGGTCCTCCAGAACCAGATGGGCGTTGCACCCCGGGACCTCTGGGGAGCGTAGGGGTGAAACCTGCAGAGTCTCTCCTGGACACAAGTGACCTGCTGCATTTTGGAAGGCTCACAGGCTGTGTGAATCGTAACGGCAAGGCAAGAGACATTAGGCTGGCACAACCATCTGCACTGCTTGGCTTTAGCCATTTTCTTTGAAACAGGAGATGCCAAACCTTACCTCGGTCTCCATTGTCAGACACAGGCACAACAATATACTTTTTACCTCCTTTCAGAAACTACTGGGGATGTTTAAAGTTTTCTGAAACCAATCAGCCAAGACAGACGTTCACACAGACCAAAATGTAAACATCTCTAAAACCACTAAGAGGAAAAAAATTACATAAAAATTCTATAGCTTGTTCTTTTTCTATTTTATAGTTTGGGGATCACTTTTTTGTCTTAAAGTGCTTATGGCATTAGAATGTGCATGAAAAAATAGCATTTATGGTTATCAGATGTTTAGCTTTGCTTCAAAGTGGTCCGCCAACATATGTAAGCTAGCTGCTCTTTTCCAAATCAAAGTATTCTCTCTTAAGAGCTAACTTGCAATGATTTCAAAGTTACACATGTAAATATAACAGCATTCTTATTTGCCCATTGGAACAAAATGGATTTTAATATGAATTTTCAACAAAATTAATATTTTATTCCTACACAAAGAATTGCAGCTATAACCTTTCTTAGCTCAGAAAGTATTTTTATAGCTTAAATGCATATTAAGAAGTTGGACAAATATCCCCAGATGTTTTCAGATTTGCGTTATTCTTGAAGTGACTTTTTTGTTTAAAAAAATATTATTTTTTATAAGGTTGGGGGGGGTTTAGGGTTTTTTTTGGGGGGGAGGAAGTTGGGGTGTTTGTTTTTCTTTGTGGGGGTTGTTTATTTTTTAGTTTGGGGTTTTAATTTTTTGTTATGTACTGGGGCAGCTGGGACAGTATGAGGCTGACTAGGAAACAGAGCCTTCCTGTTAAAGTTTGGGCAGTTCATTTGGAGTATTCGCATGTCCTAAAACATCATGCTCGTCCAAGCAGACTCCTGAGGAAACAGTGGCAATCAAAAGGTGTTCAGTTTTCCAAAACATAAAAGCCTCCCTTCAAATCCATCTCGATATTTCAATAACACACTTCTTTATGAGAACATAACCTTCTTTTTTGGCAATATCATCTCTACCAGGCCCAGTTTACCTGTGCAAAATCCCATTAACTGTCAAATACACCCATGGGTTTTGTGGAAGAACTCCAGATTTCGGCAACTTTGTCACAGTGAAGGAGAGCATTTCACATGCGCTTCTGAGAGCCAGCAGCAGCTCTGTGCCTTCACCCAGTGCCATTTGCTGCACTTTGGAGGATGGAAGAGGCTTTGAAGGCCTTTGGTTTAGCAAACTTGGGGACAGGAATCTTTCTTCTGGGCTTCATGCCAACTGCTGGAAGAAATGACACGTACTAGCAACAGCCAGGCAAGCTTGCCCTTGTCCCACATGCGGAACCGGAAACAATGCATTAATCCATAGAGATTAAGACATGTATCTGTTTTAAGAAAAATACTGTTTTATTTTCTTGATGATGGCAGAACTCAGAGGGTTGTCGTCAGCAGCCCTGAGTCTAGTTGGAGGCTGGTAACTAGTGATGTCCCTCAGGGGTCGGTACTGGGCCCAGTCTTGTTTAACTTCTTCATCAATGACCTGGATGAAGAGTTAGAATGTACCCTCAGCAAGTTTGCTGATGACACCAAAATGGGAGGAGTGGTAGATGCAGCAGAAGGCTGTGCTGCCATTCAGCGTGACCTGGACAGGCTGGAAAGTTGAACAGAGAGGAACCTGATGAGGTTCAACAAGGGCAAATGCAGGGTCCTGCACCTGGGGAGGAACAACCCCATGCATCAGTACAGGCGTGGGGTGGACCTGCTGGAGAGCAGCTCTGCGGAGAGGGACCTGGGTGTCCTGGTGGACAACAGGTTAACCATGAGCCAGCAGTGTACCCTGGCTGCCAAGAAGGCTAATGGGATCCTAGGATGTATTAGGAGGAGTGCGGCCAGCAGGTCGAGGGAGGTTCTCCTCCCCCTCTACACTGCCCTGGTGAGGCCTCATCTGGAGTACTCTGTCCAATTCCAGGCTCCCCACTTCAAGAAGGATGAAGAGCTACTGGAGAGAGCCCAGCGGAGGGCTACAAGGATGGTGAGGGGACTGGAACAT